GGAAATAGGTTGAACTTATAACATTAGGATGGAGGTTGCTTTCTGTATCAATTCAACAAACCACCTGACTTATTCAAGGAACTATGGATGAGATCCAAAGTTGGCTAAAAGTGTCTCTTCCCTGAAGGACTGGAGGGAAAGATAAGATAAACATTAATATATAATTATAATACAAGAAATAGTGTCATAAGCATCATGAGAGAGGTTAGAAATGTGCCCTGAGTGTTCATAAGAGGAAAGATAATTTATATTTGATGAGGGGCTGTGGGAAAAAAGGGGATCAAAGAAAGATGTGTGACAGGAGTAACATTTCAGCTTGTTTTAAAGTACTGGTGGGGTTTTGACAGATGGAGATGTGAGGTGGGAAAAGGACAGCAAGGGCAGAGGCTTCAAGGATCTGAAATGTGTGACTTGAGTGGGTGGAGGGGTTTCCTTACCCCTGAGATCAGGAAATGGGAGCTATGAGAGGAATGCTTTCTAACAACAACAGATAAGAACAGAGGACCCTTACAGCGAGCTCAGCAAGTGAAGAATCTGGACACCTGGGGCCCTTTGGTTTGGACCCTGCACTCCATTACTCCTCCTTGCTGCTTCGCTGGCCTGCAAGGAGGGTGTTTGCAGAACTTTATTTATTCTAATTTGATTAAGAGAAATGTGATAGAAGGAGAAACAGGAGATTTGAGTCCTGAAGTCTGTTTCTGCTTCTCAGTGATGGTCCAAACCTGGCAAGTCATCTCCTTCCTCTGTGACTCAATTTTCTTATCTTTAAATGAGGGTTTTGGTCTAGGTTGTTTTTTGAGATCTCTTCCTGTTTTGACAATCCAGCATTCCAAGACTCCAATTTAAATGATCCCACTTCTGAATTAGCGGAGTTATCGTCCAATTTCCTTCTCCTACTCCCTATACCCGCTGGGGCTTTAGGCAGTCAGACTATATATTTCTCTCCGCTCAGAGACCAGCAGCTCCCAAATGAAGCCCCCGAGGCCTTATTTGGGACTTATAGGGCCAGGCAAGGGAGGCATGGCATCTCCGATACTTAATGAAAACAAATTCTCAGGAAATAACTTGGTAATCATCATACGATTTTAGTGGGAATTTAAACACGTGACACATCTCCCAGGGTATCGCATGCTATTCCCTTCCTGATTATGGGACAAAGCCTTTTCCTAAAGTCTCCAGGGTTTTAGGAGTAAGCCCCGGGTAGGGGTGTGTGTGGGAGGGCAGGGTTGGATGGCCATTCCTCCCACTGATCTCACACGTCTACTTTCTACTCTGCCTCAGTAATACCCTCAGGAAGGCATATGCCTCAGAAAACACGAGACCGGCGCCACCAAGTGGCCAGAGAGGAAATGCAACTAAAGCTGGGACCATTTTGCTCAGCTCCGTAGCTCTGGACTTCATTCATTCTACGGAGAAATACCCTGATCTTGGAAATTTCACACGTGGGTGTACCATATATGAGGCCACACTTTTTAGAGGGCTTTGCTGAAGGAAACTAACAATTGCAAAGAGGATCTTAGCCTGAAGGTCAAAGGATCAAGAAGAGATAGAAGCCAGGGAGCTGGCACGGAAGTAATCTAGACTGAGGCAGACCTCCTGGCCTTTGGGTAGAAACAGGACAGGAAACTACTGTTCTCTTCCTGAGAACTCTCTTGGGAGCTGAAAGGGAGGTGGGGATGGCAGCTGAGTATTTGTTCTGCTTTCTCCAACTCCCTCGCCTTCCTCTAGGCGTGGAACAAGTCTGGAGCCAGGCAGGGGTCTAAGAGACCCAGGCTAGAGGGGGCAGTGATTGAGGAGGCTCAGGTCAGGGGCCTTCAGAGTGCATGCATTTGACCAAGCTCTGTGAGGAGGAACCAGGGCGGTCTCCCAAAATGTGGACCCTTTTTCTCTCTTTCTCTCCCGATCTCTCCTCCATGCTACTTTCCTCTGCCATCCATATTGTTGTGCAGGCAAGAATTTTACTGGATACAATAAATGTTCCTTTTTTTTACTCCCTCTTCTCTATCATTTGTTCATTTTTCACACTGATTGAGAGCCTATTAAGTGACAGGACCATGCTAGACATAGGAGATACAGATGCTGCCAGACAGGGGATTTGCTCTCAAGATTTGCACTTTAGAGAGGATACTCCCTCCTGTATCCTAAGTTCATGCAAAAGAAAGGACTCTTCAGACAGATCCATCATTCATTCCTTCATTTACTCCTTAATTGGTCAAGAAATAGTTATTGAAGATTTACTATTTTCTATGTTCTACTTTAGGTGTTTCTTGTTAAGAATGAAGACAGGAGGCGACACGCTTATTTTATTTCATTTCTTTCTCTGTTACTGTAGCTATAGATCTTGCCAGAGAATTTTTTGGGGATGAGAACAAAGGAGGAGTTGAGTCTTAGTTCTAAGATGGGACTCTTCAGAATGCAGGGGGATATTTGCTAGTGGTCAGATGGGTTGATTTACACTTTGTGCACAGACAAAAGTAAAAGAGAGAGGGAGAGGCAGAGGGGATGGGTAGAAAGGACAGAAAAAGAGAGGAAAAATCAATAGCTGTAGAAATGGCCAGTGAAGCTGTGAGGATTAGTCATTACTTTTCTTTTTTTCCCCAGTTTTATTGAGAGATAGACACACATTACTGTATACGTTTAAGCCGTAGAGCATGATGGTTTGATTTACATATATTGCGAAATGAGTATTGCAGTAGGTTCAGCTAACATTCATCATCTCATATGCATACAACATAAAGAGAAGAAAAAAGGAAAAAAATTTTCTCCTTGTGATAAGAACTCTTGAGATTCACTCTGCGAATACTGCACACAGCAGTGTTAACTATAGTCACCGTGTTGTACGTTACATCCCTAGGACTTACTTATCTTACCCTGGAAATTTGTACCTTTGACCACCTTTCTCCAAACCCCCCTCCTCCCACTGTCTGCCTCTGGTAACTACATGTCTGATCTTTTTTTCTATGAGCTTGTTTGTTTTTAGGGTCTGCATATAACTGAGAGCATCCAGTATTTGTCTTTCTTTGTCTGACTTACTTCACTTGGCATAATGCCTTCAGGGTCCAGCCATGTTGTCACAAATGACAAAATTTCCTTATTTTATATGGCTGAATAATAATCCATTGGATATATACACAGCATACTTTCTTTATCTACTCATCCATTGATGAACATTTAGGTTCTTTTCACATCTTGGCTATTGTAAATATTGCTGTTATGAACACTGGGATACAGATATCTTTTCCCTATTGAAGTATAGTTGTGGTAAAATATTATTTAAGTTACAGGTGTACAATACAATGATGCACAATTTTTAAAGGTTATACTCCTTTTATAGCTATTATAAAATATTGGCTATATTCCCTGTGTTGTACAATATATCCTTGTAGCTTATTTTATACCTAATGGTTTGGACCTCTCCCTTCCCTCTCCTCACTGGTAACGACTAGTTTGTCCTCCATAGCAGATAACTTTTTGAGTCAGCATTCTCATTTCCTTTTCAATTCCGGAAGTGGAATTGCTGGATCACGTGACGTTTCAACTTTTAGTTTTTTGAGGCTCTTCCATATTGATTTTTTAAGGATTTTCTTGTGTGGTAACTGGGCCCCCCATGGATGGTGCCTTCAGTTCTGTGGAGGTTTTCCCATCTTGCTTGACTGGAGGAGGGCACTGGGGTCAGAGGAACTAAAGCTTCTGTTTTGGAAAAAAATGAACGCTGAGATAGCTTAGCAATGATAGCTCTTTCTGTCTCCTCTTCTCACAACTTTTCCTCCAGTTATGAGGAGGCAGTGGAGCCTGGCTTAAAAGGTGAGCCTGGGCTTCCTGGCCAGCATTCTCCTCAGAGCTGCCTTCACCTCCTGGTTCTTCAGACTGTAGATGAGGGGGTTTAGCAGCGGGGTCACCACACTGTACTGCACGGACAGCACTTGCTCCAAGGCTGAGCCGGAAGCTGGAGTCATGTACCTTGAAGGGAATTGCACAAAGGAGTGAACTGAGCTCAGGACAATGGACACAATGCTAGTGGCAGACACGGTCCATCCCATCCCGGAGACCCTGCGAAGAGGGAGGGTCCTCTGAGCTGAGTCAACCGTCACTGGTAGAAGGTCTAGCAATGACCGAATTATCAGTGAGAAGTCAGTCATATCTGCCTGCAGACGCCTTCATATATGAGCGATCTTGTGCAGAATGTTATAGGAGCTGCCCCGAGGAAAAAGGGAGTTAGTGCTGCAGCATATCAAGTGCTGCAGGATAGATTAGAGCTAAAAATGATCTCATGCACTTCTGGGGAACTTCATACTTTTCAAAGCATCTTTCCTTAATAGTGACGATGATCATACGAAGATTTTTTTCTCTTCTTTTTTCTATATATACAACTGTATGTTCTCATTTATTGATGACTGTTTCTTACAAAACTGTACGCTAGTCTAATAATGCTATCATTTTTCCCAATGTTTATGGTCTGGGAATTACCCCACAATCACAGCACATTATGTTTACGGTGCTTAGTGGAACAGACATTTGTTCTTTTTGGTGCATTTTTTTTCCCTTGGCTTTGAAAAGAAGCCAAGCTTGGAAAATAAAATGAAAGATAAAAATGTGTTTAGCATGAGACATGAATCCAGAATAATAAGATTCCATTTTTGGAAACATCTTGTTAAGTGTCACTGGGAGTATTTCCCAAAGAAGCATTAATTTTGTGTGTGTGTGTGTGACGGTGCCATCATCATTGGAAAGTTCTTTGTGGGTTCTGGTGTGCTTGGTTAAAAGACAGCCTCAAGTGAGCTCTCCTGGACCATTCCTTATCTTTTTCCACCCCTGACTTCTCTCCAAGTAACAAGTAGGTGAGAAAAATATAGAGCACTTTGTGCAAATCCATCTCTAGTTAGTTCACTAGTAGAGAGCGCAGACTGTTACCTATTCTATCTCCTGGTAAGTGAAGACTCGTCAGCTGGAGCTGTTTATGTCTGAGAGAAACATGGTAGGAAGGAGCATGAGATGTGAAGTCAGTGAGATTTGGTTTCTATTACGGCTGCATTACTGGCTTGTTCAGGAGCTTTGAGAAAGTATCTGGTTACCCTTGAAACTGAGATTTCTTACCTGACAATGGGGTTAATAATACTTCTCTTAAATTGTGCTACATACTAAAGTTGAGCTTGTTTGTATAAAGCAGCTGTCATATAGTAGGTACCTAAAGAAAAGTTACAGCACAAATAAGCCTGGAAACATCACCTTCCAGGAGGAAAGAAAAGAGGCATCTATTTCAAGGATGATATGTTTTGATTTTTGTCTAGCACTGAATAAAACTCCACCAAGGGCTCTCTGATTTCCTTATGAGAACTCCCAAATCATAGGTTAATGGAAGTAGGAAAATCTTTAGTTCTTGTGTAAGCTTATTTTCAGAGTTAGACAACTGAGGAAAGAAAATGGATTTTATTTTTCTAATTCACACATCTAGTCCACAGCAGAGCCAGAGCTAGAACCCAGGCCTTCTGAATTCCATACAGTTCTTTTCCTACTACTTTGCAATGCTCTGTTCTACAGACCGAGGCTACTTTAGAGTGAGAAATGCCTACATTTCCACTCAGGGGGTATAGTAGTGACATACCTGAAAACTCCCGATCCATAGAAGATGGTGACCACAAGAAAATGAGATGAGCAGGTAGAGAAGATCTTTCTCTGACCCGTGGCAGAGTTGATGCCCAGAGCTGTCATGATGATGCGAGTGTAGGAACCCAGCAACAGGACAAGGGTGCCAAGGCCCAGGACCACCATGGTGGTCAGGATGGAGGCAATGCTAATGGAAGGGTCAGAACAGGCCAACAGGAGAACAGGGGGAAGCTCGCAGGCAAAACTGCGGATGAGGTTGGGGCCACAGAAGTGATGCTGGGCCAGGAGGATGGTGTTAACTAGTCCGGTCCCCATTCCAATGGCCCAGGATGCTGCCACCAGGCTGGTACACACTTTCCTATTCATAGCCACCACATACAACAGTGGGTGGCACACAGCCTGGAACCGGTCATAGGCCATGACTGAAAGGAGGCAAGCTTCAGTGGCCCCGGAAAAGATCACCAAGGAGATTTGGGTGAAACACTCAAGGAGGGATATAGTCTTCCACTTGGAAAGAAGGTTCTCCAGCAGTTTAGGCACAATGATTGAGGAGTAGAAAGCATCCAGGAAGGAGAGGTGACAGAGGAAGAAGTACATGGGGGCGTAGAGGTGGGAGTCAGTACTGATCACCAGAAGCATCAGCAGGTTCCCCGTGAGGGTTAGGAGGTAGATCCCCAGAAATAGTACAAACAGTGCTACCTGGGTCTGAGGGTTGTTGGATAGTCCCAGGAGAATAAACGCTGTGACTGTGGTTACGTTGCCAGCTTCCATGGAGCATTCATTTCCCTTCAGAGGGACGAGACCAAATGTGTTATGGGTCTCAGAGCATGGCTGGGGATGAGGCACTATGAACAAAGCTTCGGGGCTGACCCAGGACAGATCATGTAGCGGAGGCAACCCGGCCATGTCAGCTCTCATCAACTCTTTCCAGCTCAGGGCAATAATCTGTTGGCCAAGGTGGAGAAGGTGGGAAGGAAGAGTGTAGAGAATCAAACCTAGAAAGGAAGGAGAGGAGAACAGAGATTATTCACACTGGAGAAGGAAAAGGAGTTGGAAGCAGACTCCAGAGCCCTGAGAAGTGCTGTTCTCCAGTTCCAAAAGGAACTGAGTTCAAACCACAGGAAGGCTCACTGGCAGAGTGAGTAAGCAATAAACATTTTGGCCAATCATCTGGTTGACAGACCTTGATGCTTGTTTGAATGACTGGTAGAGGTATTGTGACACCTGGTGATGGTGCAAGAATTTTCTCTGTCACTGTATGTTCATGAATAAGTCACTTGAGTTTCTCATTTTAAAAAATCTGGGAATATTGGATGGTTTCTGAAGTCTGGTCCAGCTTAGAAATTCTAAAGATTGGGAGACAATCTTCCTTGAGTATCCCTGGACCTAAATGGAAACCTCTTCTCCCTTTCTGTGTCAACCCAGGCAGAAGTGGCACATGAGTATGCTGGTTCCACGGACACCAGGCAGGAGGAAGCCCTCAGACGGGAGATGAGGGCTGTGCACATCAGTTATCCTAAGGGCTCTCCATCCCAGGGTTCTTGTGAGTTTACAACGCCCACTGTTCATGCTGTAATCTCAGGACTTAACCTGAGACCCTTTGAAAGCTGTGCTATTCTCTGAGTTGGTGCCAGGGGATTTGGATAAAGCCAAGTCAAATTTGGACCACCTTCTGTGCATCACAGGGATGGTAAGGGGCAAAAAGAGGAGAGCTAAAAGAATGCCTAGAACACTTAGTAAAACGGACAGTTAAAGGGTTTAGTGTAGAGCAGAGGAAGGTGCAATGTTTACTCCTCACCCCATGAAGGGTAACTCAGGAGAATGATAAATGAAGATCTGATCTCTATTCATGGCTTGCACACTCATGGGTTCCCAGACTGGATAGTTTTAGGAGAAGGTGGATTTGCATGAGATGATGTGTCTTCACTGGGCTCCCTAGGCCAACAAGAGACACTCAGTGGAGGGTGCTCAATGGCACACTTTCCAACTCTGGAGGAAAGGCCACAGATATGACTAGGGCTCTGTGGGCTTCCCTCAACTTTGTCCTTCCTTTAGAAGATGCAGGCGTGGAACTTCTGAGCGAGGAAATATCCCTCTAGTCTTTATGTCCAAGGGGAAGCCTTCTTGACTTTGTTTCCCAAATAACAATGGCCAGAGGGACTTGATCTGAGCTCTAGACCTTGGAGAGTGCTGGAGGCCCCTGGAGAGGCCCTTAAGCAGGAGGCCTGCTCTGAGCTGAATGAGTTCTCCAGGGTCAACCATTCCTCCCCTGTATCATCTTGTTTTAGTGGGTTGCATCATACAGGAGGTGCCCTAGGGTGGCCAATAATTTCTAAAGATAAAAATGTAGAGTGCTAAGGTTTCTGAGTTCTAAATCTTCAAATTCTCACCCTTCCTCTCTCCCTCCTTCCTTTCCTTCTCATTTGGTTATATTTTAAATAATATTTATAATTATAAAAAGATAATGATAAAAGATAGAAAATAAAAAAGATATTGAATGCTTTTTAAAACTGAAAATTAAAAATATTTTAATGATAAAAGATGAAAATAATAATTTACTATGTCATCCAAAATTAATTCTTTAATGTATTGTAATTCAAAAAATCCAAATACATTGAAAACTTTAAAATAAAATTTTAATTGTGGTAAAAACTTTTCATTATGGAAAAATTTAAGCATATACAGAAGTAGAAAGAATAGTGTAATAATTCTTCTGTATCCATCACTCAGCTTCAACAGCTATCAACTCATTGACTGTTACCCAGCTCTGACCACATGGGGCTGAAAGATGTGGTCTCTACCCTACATGAACAGTCAAGAGTCTGAAACATGGGAATGTTCTACTACTGAAAGGTACAAGGGAAGGATAGATATTGAAGAGCAATTATCAGTCTTTGCCACAGAAGAGGATTGAATGGTGGTTGATTGAATAAATTCCTAGGAGTCAACAAAGCAACAATATAGAAGGAGCTTGGTCCTTTCACTCTGGACCATCCATATATCTCTGGACTTAAGAGAAAAATAATCTTTTATTGTATTTGATTCACTTTATTTTGGGATCTCTTCTATAACGGCTTAGACTTTGTCTTCCTAAGACAGATTTCCTAACCCCAATTGTCTCCAACTTCCCACCACCAAAAATAAAGTTGCAAGAAACACGTTTTTTTTCCGTGCCTTCAGAAGCATGTCTATTATGTTTGAGAGGATACATCAGGTGTTCTCTGAGTTACAAGGGGTAAAAGGAAATCACATTACAAACTGAAAAAGGTGAAAGTAAAACTTTTTTTTGGAAAAGCATGAACTACTTACTCAGAAATAGATCTGTGTTTAATATAAATTACATAATTCCTAGTCATCTATGGTTATGTTTATAACTTCATACGGATGATGAATTAGGCTCAAATAAGCTATAATATTTCATAGACTTCAGGACCAGAATTTTTAATACATCATAAAATACATTTTGATATACCAAAGAAATAAGACTTGCAAGTAGATGTTTTAAACATCAGTAATCCACAGCTACTAAGCTCTACTCTTGATAGCATTTACATTTTTGGGGAGTCGCCCAATCTCCAAAGGACAAAAGCAGACAGTAGAAGCAGTGTAACATATACACAGAAGTTGGTACTGTAAAGGCTATAAAGATTTGCAGCATACAATATTGCTAATTGTTAGAGAACTGCAAATCAAAACTATGATGAGGTATCCCCTCACACCAGTCAGAATGGCCATCATGAAAAAGTCTACAAATAATAAGTGTTGGAGAGGGTGTGGAGAAAAAGGAATCCTTCTACACTATTGGTGGGAATGTAAATTGTTGCAGCAACTAAGGAAAACAGTCTGGAGCTTCCTTAAAAAACTAAAAACAGACCTACCCTACGATCCAGCAATCCTACTCCTGGGTGAATATCCAGAGGGAACTCTAATTCAAAAAGATACCTGCACCCCGGTGTTCATAGAAGCACTATTTTTAATAGCCAAGACATGGAAACAACCTAAATGTCCATCGACAGATGAATGGACAAAGAAGATGTGGTATATACATTATATATAAAAAAGAATGACATAATGCCATTTGTAGCACCATGGATGGACTTAGGGATTATCATATTAAGTGAAGTAAGTCAGACAGAGAAAGACACATATCATATGATGCTGCATATATGTGGAATCTAAAAAAAATACAGATTTTATTTGCAAACCAGAAATAGACTCATGGACACAGAAAACAAACTGTTGTTACCAGTAGAGAGAGCGGGGAGAGGGATAGATTAGGAGTTTGAGATTAACAGATACACATTACTATGTATAAAACAGATAAACAACAAGGACCTACTGTATAGCACAGGGAACTATAGTCAATTTCCTGTAATGAGTTGTAAAGGAAAAGACTCTGAAAAAAATGCTTATGTATATGTGTAACTAAGTCACTTCACTGTACACATGAAACTAAAATTGTAAATCAACTGCACTTCAACAAAAAATAAGAATTAAATAAAAAAAGATTTGCAGCGTAGTGAGAAGATGCCTTCTGCTCCTTTATATTGTATACAAATTACATGAATTGTGTTGTGTATCTCTTGCTCCACTGTCCAGCTATCCTGTCATTTTCTGCTCTGTTGATCAAATACAGAATGGCTTTGCATCCAAGCAGAGGATCCACAGGGTTGCAGTCTGTCAAAAGAGAACAAACTGACAGCAAAAACCTTTGAAATAGTCAGAGGTACTCCAGTTGTCCTTAAGGATGTCCAGATGGATGACTCCCAGATTGTTAATGTTGCAGTGATAGATTCTGTTGCAGAACGTAAACTTTGGTGTGGACAATAAGATGAAATTGTGATATACAGAAAAAAACACACAACCTTCATATACAGAACCTGGTGGACTAAGTGTAGTCAGTCTCGATTCATAAATGTTCTCCCTTGGCCAGCATTGCAGTTAGATGGGGAGAATCCAGGCTTATTTCATCTAGCTCCTCCTGAATTCTTTTAGCGCTGGTGGATAATTTAGCAGTGGTTTTGCTTGAGAGTTTGGTGCTTTTCTTCTGCTGGGAGGCAGAAAGATTTCTTGCTTATTCCTTAGGCTTTGGAGTGGCTGGTTCTTGACCATCCACATCTGAATCACCACTGTTGGTCTGGGGCTCTCATTCTCAGACATTTGCCTATCACTGGACATCTTGGTGAAATTATTTCTTAGAAAACTCTGCTGCCTGCTCAGGCCACTCATTAGATGCTATACTTGGTGGGGAGGAGGCGGGGAGGGAGAAAAGGAACCCGAGAAAGTTCTAGGCGGGGAGTATGGAACGTTGAAAGTTGGAGGGGGTTGTCTGCAATAAACACTTAATACCTGTTTCCTTAGGAACTTACATAATAGTAATTAGAGAATTTTAGCCAGTTGAACAATACCTGAGTCATAGTAGACATTAGACATAATTTGATCAAGTATTGATCCTGCACTGCTGTGGTTGCACCAGCTTTCACTGTAATGCTTGAGCGTTTCTCTATCACTAAACACTAGCCAACCAACTGATATTTGGTAGTCTATCAGGTGTGAAGTGCCTTCTCCTTGCTATTTTAATTGCTAATGAGTTTAAGCATCTCTTCATACATTCTTTAGTCATATGCGTTTCCCTCTTATAGAAGGAATATACTGTTTCATATACTTTGTTTTTCCTACTGGGTTTTCCTTCCTTGTTGTTTTGAAGGACTTGCTTGTATAGTCTAGAACTGATCTCTTGTCAGTTTTACATACTACAAATCTCTTCTATC